GATATATAAATTATTTAACTATTAAATAATATTTGATTTTTATTTTCATATAATTATTTGAATTTTTAACCAAATAAAAAAATTATAATTCAAAAAATTAAAATATTATTATAACTATAGGTATGTCAACCACCACTACTACTACTACTACTACTACTGATACCACAGATATTGAAACACAGATATCAATAGCAAACCGTTTACTAACAGCCGAACTGTTTGTTGACCTCAAGTGCGGTATATGTCTGGATATATGCCGCCAACCGGTACTAACCCAGTGCTGCCGACACCTGTACTGCAATGACTGTATCCGGCAATGGCTTACTAACAGTACAGGTAGTGGTGATGGTAATGATGGACACATTCAACAACAACAGCGACCACCAACCTGTCCAATGGACAGACAGCCGCTAACTGTCCAACAATTAGTGAAACCATCAATACTTGTCAGTAATTTGTTAATGAAATTCAATAGAAATGGTAAGTAATTTATTTTTCTTTTTACTTTAAATTAATTATTAAAATTAATTAATTTTTAAAAAAAAAATATATTAATTTTCAAATAAAAAAACAAAATATTTTTTAATTTTTATTATACTTATAAAATTTTAAAAAATATATACTAATATTAGTTAATATATCTATAATTTTTTTAAAAATAATAACTTTGAATCTTTAAAGTTAGTGATATTTGTTATTGTTGAATATATTTGTAGATTTTATTTTTAAATATAAATAATTAAACTTATAAATTATTTTTTAAAAAAAAAATTACAAAATATTAAATAACAAAGTTTTTAGACATATTTTAAACTTATTAATATATTATATATTAAATTCTATTCAAATTAAATGTTAATTAATATTAAAAAACAAACAAACAATATAAATAATATTAACAAATTAAGAAATTAAATTTATATTTATGTCTATTACTGTATATTAGTTATAATTTATAAATTCAATGTCAAATTATTTTAGTAATTAATAATAATACAAATATAAAATAATAATTTTAAAATTATAGAAATATTAATTAAATCTATAATATATATTACTTAAGTTTAGTAATATATATATATATATATATATAGTTTAATATAGTTTAGAAACTATAATATTGTTATATTTATAAAAATTATGGAATTTTTATTTTAAAAAAAATATTATATTTGACTATTTAACAAAATTATTTTACTATAAATACCAGAGTAATTTTTATATAAAAAAAATTCATTGCTATTAATTATTTTCATTTTGTGCTATAAATTATAATATATTATATCTATAGGATTTTTTTGTTTTTTAAATAATATATTAAGTATTGAAATATACAATAATTTAAAATATTATTTACATTATTTATTAGCTATAATGCAATCGGCTATTGATATTTCACGAGTGGTCGGCAATGATTGCGACAAATTTATCATTTGTTATGTTTGCAAACAAATACCAGCAGTCCGTCCCGTAAGCCGTGTATGTCATCCTTATTGTCTTATTTGTACCGATTGTGCGGACAACAACAGCCGCGGCTGTAGCTTATGCTTAGCCATCGGTAGGGCCATTGGCGGCCAACCGGCAATGGCTACCGAAGCTAACGTTCCTCAGGAGTTGCTGACAATTTGGATGAATTTGATAGTCCAGTGCCGCTATAAATCTTATGGCTGTCCGTTCACTGGCTCACCGGTCGATATTGTCGATCATGAGCCTCATTGTGCTCATCGTAGGGACAGTCTATGTCCACTATGTGACAGTCAGGTCAGTGACCATCAAAATGATGGCATCAGATCGTGTGTCCGATTGCTGTCTAATAGAGTCGATAGACTTGAAAGAGACGCCGATATGGTAGTCGACGACACAATTAATTAATAAATATTATTATTTTTGAAATTACTTTTGAATTAAAATTATTATTATTATTATAAAAATATTAAAATTATTGATATTATTATTATTATGATTATAAATTTACTGAAATTTAAAAATTGCTAAAAAAAGTATTTTACATATTTCATAGATTATATATATATATTACTATAAAAATATTAAAATTATTGATATTATTATTATGATTATAAATTTACTGAAATTTAAAAATTGCTAAAAAAAATGTATTATACATATTTGATATATTATATATATATAAAAAAAAGTTAAAAAATAATTAATTATCTATAATTAAAAAAATTGTTTTACTAAATATCTATAAAAATCAAAAATTTATGTTACTACTAAATCTAAATAAATCAAATAAATTTGATTTATAATAAAAATTACAAAAATAATTTTGATTATATACATTAATTACAATAAATAAATTGCATTTTTGAAAACTATTTTTTAATTTTATTTTTATATATTTAGAATTAACCTAGATCACAATGCTTAAATATAAAAAAATTATGTTTACTATTTATTTAAAGCATATATTTATTTACAATATTTATTAATTTATTACAAATAATAGAAAATAACTTTTATATTATTTTTTATATTATTTATTAAATAAAAATATCATAAGTTTTAATATAAACTATTAATTATAATATTTTAATAATAATAATAATAATTAATGTTAAGCATTAGCTAAAAAAAAGTTATTTATTTATTATTTATTGTGATAATTATGATAATTATTTACAAAATAATAATATTAGTAACTTTTAATTATTACAAAAAAATAACGCATTGTATTTCAAAATGTTGTAATATTATTTTTTTTGTGGGGGGGGGGTAAATATTATTATTAGTATAGTAAACTTATAAATTAATTATAATTAAATATTAATTGTTAAACAATAAACTATTAAAATTTATTAATTTAAAACTAAAATATTAATTTCAATAACAAAATAATATACTAAAATTAATATTTATAATTAAAAAACTGTAATAAATTAATTAATAAAAGTTCTATTAGAAAATCTAATAATTTAAATAATTTTTTATAATTATTATAACTCAAGTATAAATTTTAATTAAATAAATTTAATTGATTTAAAACAGAAAAAATTAATTAAATGAATTATTTATTAGAAAAAATAGGAAAAAATTTATAAAGTATATTTAATTAAAAAATCAAAATGTAAAAAATAATTCAACTAAAATTGCTAAATAAATTTAAGTTTAGTATTTTTATAATACTGTAATTTTAATAATATAAAAATATGTTGCTATTTTTTTATTAATAGAGATTATTTAATTAATTAATTATTATTATTTTTTTGTTAAAATAGTTTAAAAATACATAAAAATTTTTTAAATAAGATTAAATCATATATTTTTTCACACAATCTAGAATCGGACCCTATCTATCGACAGTACCTAACGGTGCGGGTACCTGGTCGGGTACACATTTATTGCAAAAATTCATAACCAAACGTCCGACCAAAGTCAATTTCGGTGAACCGGGCAATCGGGTTAGGTATGGCCGGTACCGGTACTACCCGAATACAATCTATTAATTCATTACATCACCAAACATAGCGCTTATCTATGCGGCCAGCGATTGGCTCAACGATCCGAAAGATATAGCTATTTTGAAACAAACACTTAAAGGTTATTTTTTTAATTTTAAAATTAATTAATTAATTTTTTTTATTTTTGATAATTAACCTAACCAAACGTCCGACCAAATTCAATTTCGGCGAACCGTGCAATCGGGTTAGGTATGGCCAGTACCGGTACCACCCGAATACAATCTATTAATTCATTACATTCGAAAAATATTGCGCTTATCTATGCGGCCAACGATCTGAAAGATATTGCTATATTGAAACAAATATTTTTTAAAATTTTAATTAATTTATTTTAGTTTTTTTTGATAATTAATTTTTAAAAAACTAAATGAATAATAATTATTTATTTATTATTTTGTAAACTTATATATTAATTTTAATCTAAACAGAACTAAACTATAATGTTAACATTTTTTTCAAACATAATTAAATATTAAAATTTATTATAATTTTAAACTGTAAAATATTAATTTCGTTTATTATTAACAAAATAAAATAATTAATATTTATATTTATTTAAAAAAAAATTCAAACTGTAATAAATTAATTAATAATAATTTTTATTTTAAATCTAATAATTTAAATAATTTTTTATAATTAGTATAATTCAAATATAACTTTTATTTAATTTAGTTATTTTTTTATAAAAATATCTTAATATTAATTATAATATTTTTATAATAATAATAATATTTTATTAATATAGTCCGCATTAATGTCAAACATATGTTATACAAAAATTTAAACTGTAATAAATTAATTATGATAATTACTTACAAAATATAATTATTAAATTATTATTTAAAAACAAAAATATTTCAAACTGTAATAAATTAATTATAAGAACTAAATAATTTTATTAAATTTTAATTTATTAAATTTTGTATAATATAAATAATACTTTTATTTAAATAAATATTATTCATTTAAAACTGTAAACAATTAATTAAATTAAATAAATATTAGAAAAAATAGAAAAAAAAATATTTTCTATAAGTGTAAAAGTATATTTATTTAAAAAATAAATTAAATATTAATAAATTAATTACAATAATTGTTAAATAAATTTAATTTTGTAATTTTTAAAATATTATATTAATAAAAAAATATGCTGATTATTTATAATTATTAAAAAAAAGTAAATTGTTAGTATTTAAAAATACGTTTATATTAAATTTTTTGATATAATATTTTGGGGTGTGTAATACAATATAAAATTAATTATTTATAGAAAAAACAAAATTTTAATTTGAAAAAATACATTTTATAACATAATTTTTTTGGTGGTATTTTATTTTTAAAAAAGTTAATTTAATTAAAAAAAAATCTAAAATAAATTGATTATTTTTATTAATATTAAATACGATTTATATTAAATTGGTCTTAAATTAAAACAAAATATTTATAAATAAAATTATTATAATCTTAGAAAAAATAATTATTTATAAAACAATGATTATTTAAGCGGTATATACTTTATATATATATATATATATTAATATTTAATATTTATCAAGCAATTCAAGTATTTTTTTATTGACCAACTTTCCTACATCCCGGGCCCACATTAGCTCCATATGATTCCATGTAGGGTCGGGTACCAGATAGTCGTCCAATAGTTTTACTATTTAAAAAATAAAATAAAATTTAAGTATCAAAAATAAATAAAATAATTAATTAATTAATTTAAAAATTAAAACCTTTAAGTGTTTGTTTCAATATAGCTATATCTTTCGGATCGTTGAGCCAATCGCTGGCCGCATAGATAAGCGCTATGTTCGGGGATGTAATGGAGCTTAGATTGTATTCGGGTGGTACCGGTTGGCCATACCTAACCCGATTGCCCGGTTCACCGAAATTGAATTTGGTCGGACGTTTGGTTATGAATTTTTGCAATAAATGTGTACCCGACCAGGTACCCGCACCGTTAGGTACTGTCGATAGATAGGGTCCGATTCTAGACTATTAAAATAATTAATTTATTCAAATATTTTTTTTTAAAACAATACTAAAATTTATTAATAATATAAATATTTAATATTAGCTATAAAAAATAAATGTTATTATTATTATTATTAATTTTGTTATTAATTTTAAAAAAAAACTAATAATATTTATAATAATATTATAATTAATTATGTATTTATTATTATTATTATTGTTAACTTTTATATTAATATACTGTATCTAAACTAAACTATAATTATATTATTAATATACTATATAAGTAAGTGCTTATTATTTTTATTATTATTAAATTTTTGAAAATTAATTTTATATTTATTATAATAAGGTATATAATAATAATTTAAAATTATTGTTACTATTAATTTAATGAAAATAATCCAAATAAAATATAATTATATAATATTAATAATAATTTGTTTAAAATTAAAAAATAATCTATAATTAAATAAAATTAGCAATTATTATATTTAAAAAACTAAAAAAAAACTTTAAAAACTAAAAAATAATAAGTTAATACAAACATAATCAAAATGTTGTTCACCGAAACCAAATATTAGGTAAAATATTTTATGACAAACACGTTGCATATACCAGTTTTCGCATAACTGTGCGTAAAATTGTTGCAATTTACCCAAATGTAACAGTGATGTTGGATATGATCTATACGCACCCGCACCCGCACCCACACACCCAGGTGCCCAAAAATTAATTTAATTTAATAAAAACATTTAAAAATAAATTAACAAATTTATTTATAATAATTACCGATACAATGGTTCAAAATGTGTCATAAATAGCAATGGTGTAGTCGAGTGGCCTAAAAATGATACTGGTGATAGGGCTATAAATGGTTTAACCAATTGATTGTACTCTAGCTTAGAGGCTAATAAACCAAACATCATAATCGTACCCTTACTGTGACCGATATAGCCAAGGGTTTCTAAATAATAATAATTAAAAAAAATTAAATTTAAATAATTATTTTATTTTTGTAATTATACTTTTTTCGGTCGACTTTAGTATATGTGATATAATTGCTGTCAAATCGTATTCAATCATCTCATCGATGGAAAACTTCCAGAATTCTGTGTCTATTAATAATAATAAATTAAATAATAAAATAATTTTACAAATCACATACACATACACATACACATACACATACACATACACATACACATACACATACACATACACATACACATACACATACATATACACATACACATACACATACACATACACATACACATACACATACACATACACATACACATACAAACATACCATCGCTACTGAGTACAGTATGATTGAGTGCATAGACATTGCCTCTCATATTGGACAGCCAGACATCATAGCCACGGGTGGCCAACAAAAACGGCAATGTATTGGCCACTTGTTGACCATCACCATCACCACCATCAGCATCCGTAACGCCCGGTTCACGATAAATACCATCCGACGGGTCTAGTTGTCCATCGGATGTAATTACCCAACCTTTCGACGAACTTTGAAAGCCGTGCTGAAGTAATACCGGTTTCAATTGGGTTCGATCCCTGTCCTTAACATAGGGATTAACTACACGATGAACGGCTATAATATAGCCGTCACCCGACTCTACATAATGTGTTTGACATTTAAAACCACGTGACTCGATAACCTCTACCTTAATAACAATACATATACAATAAAGTTATTAATTAATTAATTAATATATTATTTAATTATCTATTTTTTTAAACTATTATAATATTTAAATATTTATCATAATTATAATTAATTTTTTATAATTATAAAATTTAACATATACACTGTACACTGTACATGCACAACAATAATAATTTTTTTACATGTACATTTTTTAAATAAAAAAAATTTAAATGCGCATATGTAGCACATAGTTATTTTTATAATTATTTATAATAATAATAATAATAATAATAATAATAATAATAATAATAATAATAATAATAATAATAATAATAATAATAATAATAATAATAATAATAATAATAATAATAATAATAATAATAATAATAATAATAATAATAATAATAATAATAATAATAATAATAATAATAATAATAATAATAATAATAATAATAATAATAATAATAATAATAATAATAATAATAATAATAATAATAATAATAATAATAATAATAATAAATCTAATTAAAAATTAATAATAATATTATTTGAAAAAACAATAATTTTAAAATAATTTTTCAAAAAATAATATATTTTATAATAACCTTTTAAAAAAATTCTAATAATAGTTTAAAATTAATTGTAAAATAACATTAATAACTTACTGTATTTCTAACTGTATCCAGATGATGATAGTACCCTGGTAAATATTTTAGACCATCAATCATATAATCAGCTACCGGTGCCCAATAGATGGCCACTAGTATAATGGCCACTGAAATGAACTTGATAATTTTGCCACAATTCAATTTCAATAGTTGCTCAAAATATGTATAATTCATTTTAATTATTATTATTATTTTGTTTTATTAAAAATATCTATTAAAATAAATTATTAAAAAAATAAATTATTTAATTTTAAAATTAACTAATAATTATATTATAATATTATTTTTATTTTTTGTAAAATCATTATATTTTTCTAGTTTTTCTATATATTAATTATTATTATTTTTTAAAATACAATTTTAAAATAAAAATAACAATTACTGTTGTTAATTACTTACTGTTAAATAATTACAGTTTTAATAATAATAATAATAATAATAATAATAATAATAATAATAATAATAATAATAATACGTAATACACTTATTAAAAAGTTGTTTTATTTAAAAAAAATTATTATTTTTTAAATAATATTTACATCAAAAATAAAATATTTTTTAATAAACTAAATCAAATAATATATGAAATGATTGTTTTTTAAAAATTATATATTTATATTTAATAAAAACTTTTAAAAATAACTTTACTGTAAATATTTAATACTGTGTATATATATAATAGTTTGTAATGTAATCGTATGATAACAGGATATACTGTACTATATATATATATATAACTGTAGTTTAATATTGGGTCCATTAGGTAAACAATTTTTTTTGTTGTATTTTATTTTATTTTTGTTATTTTTTTAGTAATTTTTATTTCAGGGTATAGTATATGATATCTAGTAATAAAACTAGACTATGAACTAGTATATGAAAATAAATAAATATTATTAATAGTCAGAAAAAATAAATATAGATTTATAATAAATTATTTATTTTAATAAAAAAACAAATTAATTTTTTAAAAATATTATTTAAATTATTTAGAATATAATATGTTTATAATAAACAAATTTTTTATAAATATAATAAATTATTTTAATTATTAATAATTATTATTATAATGATTACATACTAAAAATTATTTTAGATTATAGTTTATTACTACTACTACTACTACTACTGTATAATCATGTGATGATTTAAGTAATTATTATTATTATTATTATTTTGTAGTTATATTTATTTATTTTTATAACATATTTTTCATTTTCAAACCTAATGGTTGTTATCAAAACTATTAATATTAATAATAATAATAATAATAATAATAATACTGTATATACTATACACAGTAATAGACATACTGTATATACTATACACAGTAATAGACATACTGTATATATGATATATATATTTTTATTTGTTAGTTTAGACTTTGTACTTGTTCAAAAATTTAATTTAGTTTTTATTATCATAGTTTTATATATTATTAGTAATAATAATAATAATACTAATAATCATATGATAAGTATCAATAATAATAAGTTATATTAAATTTTTTGTTGTTGTTATCTATTAAACTATAATATCCTATTACAGCTAACATTTAATGAGTCATAAATATTATATATATATATATATATATATATAAATATATATTAATTTTTATTGTTATCTATTTTAAATAATATGTATATACAGTGTATATTTTAATTTTTTTTACAATTATATTTATAATAAAATTTTATTAATTTTAAATATAGATTTATATAGATATAGTTATAAATTATAATTTTATCAATCATTAATTTCAAAAAATTTATCTAATAAATATTATTTTATATAAAATTTATTATTATTTATTTTCTAACTATTTATCAATAAATTTTCATTTTTTTATAACAAATACTTAAAGCATTACGAAAATAAAACTTTTTTTCCCAACATTATATATAAATTGTATATTATATTATAAATAGTAAAATAACTAATTGTAAAAAAAATAATTAATTAAAATTGCATAATAGAAAAAAAACATATTTGCCATTGAAATAAAAAAAATAAAAATTATATTTAAAACAACAATAATTTAAAATAACAATAATGTATATTACTATATATACTAAAATATGCTTGCTAATAATTTTAGCCTGTACCATTACTAACATGATTGATTGGGCACAGGGAGCCCCCAGTTATCTGGTATGTATTATAGCTATTATTATTATTAATTAAATTAAATTAATTTATAACAAACATATGCCTACCTGTACTAAATTATGTATGTTTCATTCACACACACACACACACACACACACACACACACACACACACACACACACACACACACACACACACACACACACACACACACACACACACACACACACAAATATACATACACACACACAAATATACATACACACATACATACCTACACAAACAAACACACGTAAACATACACACATAAACATACACACATAAACATATACACATAAACATACACACATAAACATACACACATAAACATACACACATAAACATACACACATAAACATACACACATAAACATACACATACACATACACATACACACACACACACACACACACACACACACACACACACACACACACACACACACACAAATATACATACACACACACAAATATACATACACACATACATACCTACACAAACAAACACACGTAAACATACACACATAAACATACACACATAAACATATACACATAAACATACACACATAAACATACACACATAAACATACACACATAAACATACACACATAAACATACACATACACATACACATACACACACACACACACACACACACACACACACACACACACACACACACACACACACAAATATACATACACAAACAAACACACGTAAACATACACACATAAACATACACACATAAACATATACACATAAACATACACACATAAACATACACACATAAACATACACACATAAACATACACACATAAACATACACACATAAACATACACACATAAACATACACACATAAACATACACACATAAACATACACACATAAACATACACACATAAACATACACACATAAACATACACACATAAACATACACACATAAACATACACACATACACACATACAAACACATACAAATACATACATATACAAACACACATATAATTAGACACACACATACATACACATACACACACAGGTATGCCACAAAAAAACAGGTATCAAAATCAACCGAAACAAGTTATCAAATATCATGGTATCCAAGTATACGGTACTGGTAATTATGGTGCCGGTGGTGATCCAGGTGCTGCTGCTGCTGGTGGTGGACAGGGATCTAATAACAGTGGTCCCAAAAGATATTATGGTGGCGTCAATCAACATATGTCGGGCAGTCAATGGTCAGGTGGACAGGGAGGTCAACAACAACAACAACAACAACATATGTCTATGAGTTCTAAATAATTATGTTTTAAAATAATAAAAATGATCTAGTTACTATTTTTTTTTTATAAAAAAAATTATTTAAAAACTAAATGATCATAAAATATTGTATTGAATTACAAAATATTTTTATTTTAATCTAAATATAATAATAATTATAAATTAAATATTAAAAAGTAATTTTAAAAAATTATAATTTTTTTTTAATTTTTACGATTAAATTTTTATTCAGATAATTAAGATTATCATTTAATTATTATTATTTAATAGAAAATTAAATAACAAAATAAATATTATGCAAAAAATATAAGAATTATTTTTTTAATCTATCAAATATTAATAAAACACAATTTAATTAATAATTTCTATGTAATTAATTTGATAATTAAAAATTGACAAAATATAGAGAAAAATATAATGAAAAAAAACTCATCAAAAAAAATCGGACAAAAAAATAAATTGGAAATTAATACGAAAATTTTTTTATATATATTTTCAAAACAAAAAAAAACTAAAACAATACTATTTTTATTATCTTTAGTTTCTAAATAATAAATTGAAAATAAAAAAAACAAATTAATTGAATTGTAATCTATTATTGTTTTAAAGTCTACTAATCTCTAACCACCCGTTCCTCCTCCACCTCCACATCCCTGACCTCTCCGTTGAACTAACAGTTCGATTACAACTCGATATCTATCAAAGTCTTGTCTGATTTTGGCCATTTCTTCGGCCATTTTTTTGGCCATTAGTTGAATACATAATCTAACGTCCAATACTCCGACGCCTCCGCCGGCGGCCGCCGACTCTGGGGCGGCATCGCCTCCTTGTACGCCATTAGCAACAATATTATGCTCACTTATACGGCCATTGCATGTACTACACAGCCTATCCGTACGGCCAATACATTGACCGTTGCCGTCCAGATGTCCTCTCAGTTCGCCGATAGTTCCCCTAAAAGTGCAGCCAATGGCCACCGAAACCGATGCCGCAGAAGAGGTCGACGCCATCGCCGCCGCCGCTGCCTCTGATGGCAACAAATTCAGACATCTGACTATAATCTGGTCGTACCAACGGAAACGTTTCGGCTCGACATTGGCCTCTGTGGCCAACTGTCCGCTCGAATTACATAGAATACAATGCTGGTCATCATTGGCTAAACATTTGACGCACATTAATACCGATGGACAACATTTACGGGCCACTGGACGCCGAATCGGTAGACGACAGCATTTATAGCAAAATAATATTCGGGAAATTTCGGTGTATTTGTTGTCCACTTGTTTTTCATCGATATAATCCATAATATCTTCTGAATAATAATAATTATTATTATTATTATTAGGTTTTTTTAATGTATAAATTTAATATTATAATAATATATATACTAAAAATTTATTTTGAAAAAAAATATTTCATACATACAGTCTATTTATACAAAAAAAATATTTCTAAAATATAAAATTCTAGAAATAAAATTATTGCCCAATAATATACAAACAAGTTTTATATATATATATTTGCTATATATATATTGATATATAAGTAATATTCAAAAATTTCTAATAATTTTAGTATAATTTTCTATTAACTAATAATTAGTATGAAATGTTAGGAAAAATATATTAATATATTTTAATATTAATTTATACTTAAAAATTAATAATGATTTGATTTTATTATCATATTATATATATTTTATAAAAAATATTTCAACTATATATATATAAAACTTTGTTAATGTTATTAATTGATTTAAATTGTTTAATCATAAAACTGATAATTAACCTTAAAATAATTGATTATAAAAATAGTTCTCAATATATGATACTATATATAAAGTTTTAAAAAAAATAAATTAAACTTTTTATTCAAAAACCAAAAAAAAATTATAAATTCTATATTTATATCAATAATTAATTATAAAATAATTAAAATACAATTTATTGAAACAAACCTTTTCTATTGAAATATATTAACAAATTACTGACAAGTATTGATGGTTTCATTAATTGTTGGACAGTTAGCGGCCGTCTATCCATTGGACAGGTTTGTCGTCGCTGTTCGTGTCTATAAAAGCCATTCATGATAGTAGTAGTATCAGTGGTACCGGTTCTGCTGCCGGTCAGCCATTGCCTGATACAGCCATTGCAGTACAGGTGTCGGCAACACTGGGTTAGTACCGGTTGGCTGACAATATCCAGACATATACCGCACTTGATATCATCAAACAGATCGCCTAAATTCAGACCAATTGGTTTAAGACTGTTGGGTGTTTGGATACGGCTATCGGCTCTCAAACTACTACTACTACTACTACTACTACTACTACTACTACTACTACTACTACTACTACTACTATTATTATTATTATTATTACTATTACTACTACTACTACTACTACTACTACTACTACTTGTATTAGACATCGTTTTATTGTATAAATTATTTTGTTATTTAAAATAAACTACAAAAAAAAAAGATAATTAATTTTTATATACACTAACTATAAAAATATAGTTTGAGAAAGTTTAGTAAATAAAATTGAAATTGAAAAAAATAATATTCTAAATAAATAAATTTTTATTTTATTTAAACTAAAATATTAGAATTAAACTATAATTTAAAAATAATATATATATATATTAATGCAAAATCATTCCTATTTATATATAAAAATAAATCTATAATTATAAAGTATTAATTATATCTATAGCTATATATATATATATATATAGATATTTATTTATAAAGGGATATATATATATTAAATATAATTACAGGTAATTTTAGCAATTTTATCAACCAATAACTTTTATGACCAATGAAAATTAGTTTTAAATAAATATTTGAAAAACTGTTATCATACAAGTTTTCATATATTATAATAAATTTATATTATTTATACAGTATTTATAATTATCATAAATATCAAAAATTTATTTTATATATTAAAGTTTTATTGATATCTTTATATATCTAGGATTAACCTTAAATCAAAATTACTATTTAATATGAAAAATTATTTGTGTATAATTGATATATATTTAAAGCATATAATATACACTATTTAATCATAATTTTCAATTTTATTTTTATAAAAATATCAATTAATTATAATATTTTTATAATAATAATAATAAAATTAATTTATTAGTTTATTCCCTAATTAATTGCAAACATAAGCTATTTTTAAAAAAAAGTTTATTTATTTATTATTTTAATTAACATTTTTAATACACATACTGGTGCCGGGTAGTGATCCGGGTGCTTGCGGTCATAGTGTCAATAGTCAGGAGGACAGGTAGGTCAACAACATCAACAAATGTCTATAAGCTTTAAAATAATTATGTTTAAAATTTTAAAAATTAAAAAAATACTAATTTTATAATAAAACAGTATTTATAAAATATTTATCTATTTAAAATAAACAAATAAATTATTTATTAATACAAGTATTAATAGTTTTATCAATTGTTAAATAATTATAATAATAATAAATTTAAAGTTTTATAGTTTTTTATATCTGTTTTATAATTAAAAAAAATATGTAATTAATTAATAAATTTTATATTCATAAATACTAATAGTTTTTATTGTATTTATGTTTATAATTTTAATAATAAAAATTATTATTGAAAAAAAATATTTATATTATATAGCAAAAAAAACAATAACAACAACAAACAAACAAATATTTATTTAATTTTTTTTTATAAAATAATTATATATATTAAAATTCATTTATTTTATTTCACTTATATATTTTTTTAAAAAATATAAATAATTTATTATATGAAAAAAACATATTTGATAAATATTAAAAAAAATAATAATACGGTAGTATTAAATGCAACCAAAAAAAATAAATAAATAAAAATATTATATTTATTTTAATTATATTTTAACAGTAAATAATCAATAATAATAATGAATATTTTTAATTTACAATTTAAATTATTATTATTAGTAGTAGTAGTAGTGGTGGTAACAACACTAACATTAGTAGCAGCTCAGGTAGTTAATGGTGATAATGATGACTATTATGATGCTGACTACTATGGCGGCCATCATCAACAACAACAGTATGATGACTACAATGGCGGCCATCATCGTCAACAACAACAACAGTATGATACAGTAGATGGACAGGGAGGACATGGWGGTGGTGGTGGTGGTGGTGGTGGTAATGGTGCCCAACCCTATTCATCGGATGAGTTGGATAGCGGTAATGAACAGCCACCCATACCGTTTGTTGCTGGCCTGAATAGGCCGCCCCAATTTTACGGTAGTACCTTTATTAATTAAATATTACTACTACTAGTGTGCTAGTATCTAGTTTGGCGCACCCCCCCCCACGGGTGCTTTATTATTATTATTACTAGCTTGTTTGTTTTTACTTACAAATATATATATATATATAGGTACCCGTGCACATTTTGCTCATCCACGTCAAGCGTTTCGCAAGCGTCCCGAAAATGGTCATCCTATTAAATATCAAAAACAGCTAGCACAATTGTATTTTAGTGGTGATAGTGCCCATCACTAGATAGGAGGGAGGGGTGGTTGGTGTGGGGTTGATGATAATGGTATTTAATGGTTTAATGATTTAATTATCTAAATAAATATATTGATAATATTTTTTTACAATTTTAATAAAATTCAATAATTATTATAATTTATAGCTAAAAATTTATATTATATTGTATATAAATTAACTATTAATATTAAAATCAAAATAATAATAAACTTATTTGTTTTATATTATTAATTTTTTTTAGTAAAATGTATATAAATTTATATATTAATAAAATTCTATAATTGAAATAATAATTTTTCAATAACATATATAAACATATAGTTTACACACACACATACATACATAAACACATACACATACATAAACACACACACATACATAAACACACATAAACACACACATATTGCAATAGTGGGTCAAATCAGCAAAATATTTGACTATTAAATAGGTTTTGTTTTTATTTAAATAATTAAAAACATAATTATTATATAAGCTAAATTATTGAAAACTTTCCCTATAATAAACAAATGCTTATATACACTAATATTTCAACATTACTGTAAATAATTTTATATTGAAGTCAATGATATATTGTAAGGGTATTTTATTTGTTATACTCTGAAAAATTATTTCAAAAATTATTCTTATTTTTATTTGTTAAAAATTTATAACAGCACTAAAATGTTATACAGAAAACCTAAAGGTAAACACCTTGTTTTTAAGGAAATTTTATTCAATATTTTGTGTTGAATACAGTTTTAAAATAATGCACTAAAATGTTATAGAAAAAAATTAAATAGTAAACTCCCAGTTTTAATAGTGATTAAATCCTGACTCAATGTGACACACTTTCTCCTCACATACACTTTAGTATAAATAGAGGTGTCTTTCGAACACCAAAATCAGTTCTCCACTTGGAGTCATACTACGTGTATTACTTTAAAGTGAATTAATAAAAGTATTTGCATATTACTTTGTGTGTGTGTTTACTTTGTCATCGCGAATCAACTGTTTGGACATCTTAAGGGACGCTTTTGGACCTATCCACAACTATAGGCCCACGGTCCTTATAGGCCCACGGTCCTTATAGACCCACGGTCCTTATAGGCCCACGATCCTTATAGGCCCACGGTCCTTATAGGCCCACGGTCCTTGTAGGCCCACGGTCCTTATTGGCCCACGGTCCTTCCAGGCCCACGGTCCTTTCAGGCCCACGGTCCTTCCAGGCCCACGGTCTTTCCAGGCCCACGGTCCTTCCAGGTCTTGTAACCCTATACGGATCCGAAACCCTAGATGGATTTGAAACCCTACACGGATTTGAAACCCTACACGGATTTGAAACCCTACACGGATCTGAAACCCTACATGGATCTGAATCCCTACACGGATCTGAATCCCTACACGGATCTGAATCCCTACATGGATCTGAATCCCTACACGGATCTGAATCCCTACACGGATATGAAACCCTAGACGGGTCTGAAACCTTACTTGGGTAACAGAGCCTATTTGGGTGACAAAGCCTATTTAGGTGACAGAGCCTATTTGGGTGACAGACCCTATTTGGGTGACAGACCCTATTTGGGTGATAGACCCTATTTGGGTGATAGACCCTATTTTGGTGACAGACCCTATTTTGGGCTACAGACCTAATTGGTCAGAGTAGATTAAACAGGAAACCGCTCGTTCCTAAGCCACGCATTACTATAAGTTATCACTACAAGAGTCAAAACCGTAAGGTAAGTGGTGTATTGCCGAGTGTTTGGTTTACATAAGTAAGGTTAGACAAGATTAGATACCCGTAATATACCCACTTCCACTACAATATAAACACACACACACATACACACATACATAAACACACATAAACACACATATACAAAAACACACACACACACACACATAAACACACACACACACACACATAAACACACACACACACATAAACACACACACACACATAAACACACACACACACATATTTATTTATTTGATAGTTTATAGTAATCAATAATTAATTGCATTTAAAAACAAAATGTCTATACCATCCAACTTGATTGCATTGATATTAACAATTATTTTGGCCATATATCTTATAGTATATGGTGTTAATGGACAGGGAGATAATGATGATGATTCATCCTATGGCCCTAGACCCGGTGCTGATAATTATAATATGCAAGCAGCTGCATATTCCTATCCCAACCAATAATAATAATAATAATAATTAATTGTTTTTAAATTATTTATTTTTTTGTTTTGTTTTTTAAATATAATATAAAATATAATTATAATAATAATTATAATAAAACTTAAATAAAATATTGTAATTATAATAAATTTTTAAAAATGTAACTAATATTAACTTTCAATAATAATAATAATAATAATATTAATATTAATAGATAAGACTATACAACAAAATATACTGTATTTTTTTAAAAATGATTTTTTAATTTTAATATAAAAGTTTATTATATTAGTACTACTATTACTACTACTACTACTACTACTAGTAGTAGTAGTAGTATATGCTATAGTATTTTTATACTATAAAAATGTATTAATTAAATATTTATAAAAAAACATATTTGTATAAAATTTAATAAAAAGTTATCAAAAAAATAATTAATTAATTAATATTTTTTCAAAATGTCTACTCCTTTATAATACTTGTTTGAAATGATTGATAATAATAAAAATGATTTTTTTGTCTATTTATAAGTACATTGTGTTATTAATAGGACAGTTAGATGATGGAGATAATGGATAAATAAATTTTAATCAATAAAAAAAATAACTATATTAACTAAAAAAAACTAAAAACTTTAATAAATAAATATAAATGTAATAAACATTTCAAATATATTACTAAAAAAATTATATTACATAATAAAAATTGCTAAATAATTTTTTTTTGAAAACATTTTAATATATTTTTTTTACAACAAAAATTAGATATAATTTTTATTTTTATAATTAATATTATTAATATATTACACAACAAAAATTATCACTAAAAAATAATATTCAATATAAAAAAAACATATTTGTGTAACAAAATTATTAAAAATATATATATATATTTTCAATTATAGTTTAGACATTTTTAAAATTTTTTATTTAATTTAATTATTAATTAATTGATATAATGTCTACACTAAACTATTTTTTATTGTTAACTGTCCTAATAAAATATTGTTCAGCCAAATATGGACAGGGTAGCGGCCACGCTCCAACTATCTATGCTATGGGTTTGGACGATGATGATGAATTTGGGGATCACATGAAACGGCCAGGTCATCATCATGGTAAGTTTTTTTGTTGTTTCTATTATTATAGTTAGTATAATAGTAGCTGTAATAGTTGTAGTAGTAATAGTAGTAGTAGTAGTAGTAGTAATAGTGGTAGTAATAGTAGTAGTAATAGTAGTAGTAATAGTAGTAGTAATAGTAGTAGTAATAGTAGTAGTAATAGTAGTAGTAATAGTGGTATTAATAGTAGTAGTAATAGTAGTAGTAATAGTGGTAGTAATAGTAGTAGTAATAGTAGTAGTAATAGTAGTAGTAATAGTAGTAGTAATAGTAGTAGTAATAGTAGTAGTAATAGTAGTAGTAATAGTAGTAGTAATAGTAGTAGTAATAGTGGTAGTAATAGTAGTAGTAATAGTAGTGCTAATATAATAATAGAAAATATGACTATTAAAAAATAATGTCAAAGTATTTTTAAACATATTTATTAATTTTTTAATAATTTAAATAAATCACTATGTACATTTAGGATCCCATCATCATCATTATCAGCCTAGACATCATGGCGGTGGTCATTATGGCGGTGGACATCATGGCGGGGGACATTATGGCGGTGGACATCATGGTGGTGGACAGCATGGCGGTGGAGTTTTTGGAGGTGAACTTTTTGGCGGTGAATTTATTGCCGGTGGAGTTTTTGGCGGTGGAAAATTTGGCGGTGGACAATTTGGCGGTGGTCATCACGGTGGTGGACATTTTGGAGGTGGACATCATGGCGGTAGACATCATGGCGGTGGACATCATGGCGGTAGACATCATGGTCCTTCTTACTATAGCTATGGACAGGGTGCAGGCCAGGGAAGTGGATCTGCTTTGGGTACATCTAATTACGCTTATGGACAAGGAGCAGGCCAGGGAAGTGGATCTGCTTTGGGTACATCTAATTACGCTTATGGACAAGGAGCAGGCCAGGGAAGTGGATCTGCTTTGGGTACCTCTAATTATGCTTATGGACAGGGAGCAGGCCAGGGAAGTGGATCTGCTTTGGGTACCTCTAATTATGCTTATGGACAGGGAGCAGGCCAAGGAAGTGGATCTGCTTTGGGTACCTCTAATTATGCTTATGGACTTGGTGCAGGCCAGGGAAGTGGATCTGCTTTGGGCACCTCTAATTATGCTTATGGACTTGGTGCAGGCCAGGGTAGTGGATCGGCAGTGGGTACCTCTAATTATGCTTATGGACAGGGTGCAGGCCAGGGAAGTGGATCGGCATTGGGTACCGCTAATTATGGTGGTGACGATATCGAGCTGTATAGTGCAATTAAACACGTTGGCAACGAGTTAGGCCGTTAGGTTACCTAACCTAACAAACTACAACAATATAATCATAATTTTTTTTAATGTTTTAACTGATTGATTGTTTAGTCTTTTTTTTGTAACCTATTTGTTAAATTGATTTTTTTTAAAAACTGTAATAATTTTTTTTATATATATATAAATGTAATAAATACATTTTTTTATTAAAAATTAATAAATCTGTTAATCATATAATAATTTTCTAAATAATAAACTTTTTACTAAAAAATTAATTAATTAATAAAAATCATTGAAAACTAATATAATTATGAAAAATAAATTAAATAAAATAATGTTATATATATATATGTAATTTTTGAATATTATTTTTTATAATAATAATAATTAACTAATAATGTCTACTCTATACTACTATATACTATTGCTAACTGTGCTAACAATATACTATACTAGCTATCTAGTAGATTGTGTTGATAGACATAATAAAAAACAACAAGATGCTTTAATTACAATGTATTATAGCAACTATGGACAGGGAGCAGCCAGTAAAGGTAAGCAGGGTGCAGCCAATTATGCAATTATGGATATTGACGGTGATGAATCTGGATCATTCTACCGACACCACATGAAACGGCCATCTTATCATGGTAAGTTTTTGTATGTGTGTATGTGTATGTGTATGTGTATGTGTATGTGTATGTGTATGTGTATGTGTATGTGTATGTGTATGTGTATGTGTATGTGTATGTGTATGTGTATGTGTATGTGTATGTGTATGTGTATGTGTATGTGTATGTGTATGTGTATGTGTATGTGTATGTGTATGTGTATGTGTATGTGTATGTGTATGTGTATGTGTATGTGTATGTGTATGTGTATGTGTATGTGTATGTGTATGTGTATGTGTATGTGTATGTGTATGTGTATGTGTATGTGTATGTGTATGTGTATGTGTATGTGTATGTGTATGTGTATGTGTATGTGTATGTGTATGTGTATGTGTATGTGTATGTGTATGTGTATGTGTATGTGTATGTGTATGTGTATGTGTATGTGTATGTGTATGTGTATGTGTATGTGTATGTGTATGTGTGTGTATGTGTATGTGTATGTGTATGTGTATGTGTATGTGTATGTGTATGTGTATGTGTATGTGTATGTGTATGTGTATGTGTATGTGTATGTGTATGTGTATGTGTATGTGTATGTGTATGTGTATGTGTATGTGTATGTGTATGTGTATGTGTATGTGTATGTGTATGTGTATGTGTATGTGTATGTGTATGTGTATGTGTATGTGTATGTGTATGTGTATGTGTATGTGTATGTGTATGTGTATGTGTATGTGTATGTGTATGTGTATGTGTATGTGTATGTGTATGTGTATGTGTATGTGTATGTGTATGTGTATGTGTATGTGTATGTGTATGTGTATGTGTATGTGTATGTGTGTTTATTTATGTATGTGTTTATATATGTTTATGTTTTTTATTAAGCAAATATAATAATTTTTATTATTCTATTTAAAACTAAATATTTAAAAATTAATAAAAAATCAACTAGATTATAATTCAAGACCCTGGGCACGACCACATAGACAGCCTAGACATCATCGTCACCATGGTCATCCAGGTTCGGAAAGCTATGGTTATGGCCAGGGCACTGATCAGGGAACGGGATCCGGTATTGGATATTACGGTTACGACCAAAACACAGATGATGAAGGAACGGGATCTGATGGTCCTTCCTATTTTTATAACTTTAAACCCAGTGCTGCCAATTATGCCTACTATGAAGATAACTGAGCTTTATAATAATATTTTTTTTAAACAAAAAATTATTTAACTTAAGTTTATTAACATGTTTATTTTTAATAATTTTAATAATTTTTTATTAATTAATTCTATTATTTATAATAATTATTTTAAAATACAAAAATATTGTGTTAACTAATAAATAAAAAATGATTAGAATTTTGTATTATTTTAAATTTAATAAAATAAATATTTTTTAAAATTTAATTATAGATTTTAATAATTTTATTTATAAATCATAAAACAGTATATATTTATTAATTTTATAAATTAGTAATTAATTACTGATATTATTTATCAATAGGATATACAGTATATAYATATTTACAAAATTAATTTCAATTTAAAAATATATAAAATCAATTATTTTTATCTTATTTTTGTTTTTAAACTAATGATACAATATATTAATATTAATATCTAAAAAAAAATTATAAGATAATATTTATAATATTATTAAACAATATACTCAACAATATAAATATATATWTATAATTATATGTGTTTAAAGTTTATTTTTATTTTGCACAATATATCTAATCTAAAAAACGTATAATTTTATAGACCTTGGGTATATATTTAATAAAAAAAATACAAAATAGGAACTAGTTTATTTTTTAAATAGATTAATATTGTATATAATATAATATAACTAATAAATAATATTTAATTAAATAATAATTGCATTGATGTTTTTTAATACAACAATAATTTATTATATATTAGTTATATCCAAATTATCTAGATTATTTTTGTTAATATTTTTTATATTATAGTTTAGGTTTATATATATTTTTTGAATTTTTGAAAAATTATTAATTAATTAGACATTTAATAATAACTTTATGGAAAAATCCAATACAGTATATATATTTATACTAAAAAAAATTTCAAGTGTTTTATTTTTCTCAAAAAAATAACAAAATCAAAAAAAATGATAATAAAAACATTTAGATAAAAAATAGTAGTATCATATTATTATTATTAAGTATTTAATAACATTGAATTTTTTTTAAACAAAAAAGTATATAAACAAGTTCAATTATTAATATTTATTTTAAATATATTATTATTTAGTTTAATTTTCAGTATTTAAATCTAGTCATTAATAATTAATTAATTAATTAAAACAACAAAACTAACCATGAAAGTTTTATTAATTGCTACAATTTTGTTAGCAATTTATTTAATAGGTATATATATAATAATTATTTTATTTTTAATTATATATTTATTAAAAAAAATATTTATTTAATATATGCTAATATATACTGTATATATATAGATGAGACCGAAGCTACCGGTGCACAGATAGTTGCGGCCGCCCGGACGCAAATAGGCGTTCCCTATTCGTGGGGTGGGGGCGGCTATAAGGGTAAATCAAAGGGAATTGACCAGGGTGCCCATACAGTGGGTTTCGATTGCTCCGGCCTAGCTCAGTACGCTGTCTATCATGGTACCGGGTCGGGCAAAATTATAGCCAGGGTAGCTGCCTCACAATATGCCGATAAACATTGTCATCATGTTAGTTGGGGACAGCATCAGCCAGGTGATCTAGTATTTTTCAACGATGGCGGATCCATACATCATGTTGGTATAGTATCCAGTGCTACACATATGATACAGGCGCCGCATACGGGCGATCATGTTAGGGAGTCGGCCATACCTACTACCGGTCGGATGGCCCAGGTTACACGTTGTTATTAATTTAAATAATAATAATAATAATAATAAGCTAGCTAAATTGTTGTTTTTAATTTTTAAGGTATCTAAATTGTTTTTTAATAATAAGCTACCTAAATTTTTTGTTTGTAAATTATTTTTTAGCTAGCTTGTTTTGATTTTTGTTTGTAAATTTTATAATATTAATTATTTTTATTATTATTTGAATTGTTTGAATAAAAAATATATATATATAATTGAATAATATAAATATAAAATTGATTTTTTTGTTGTTGATGTTGACATGATTTATAATTAATTTTTACTTAATTATTTATATTTGATTAGATTTTTAGTTTAATAGTTTAAATTTATAATATTTTGTTATATAGTTTTTTTTGAGACAAATATTTGTGTTTAACAACAATATTATAACTTTATTTAATTAAGTTTATAATAATTGTAATTTATATATAAATTTTTTTTTAGTTTTTTATTTTCCAAAACATGAATAAATAAAACTATATTTTATTGAAGTTTTTTTCTTTACTTCAAATCATATTATTAGATATAAATATTTTATTTTATATATGATTTATATTTAAACCAGTTAAGAATGCTAGAAAGCATTATTAGAAAAAAAAACTTTGACGTCATAAATTATTATCTTCGCAAATTAATTGTCAGTTGACTTTAGTCATTTAGTAAAATGACAAAATAAACTAAACTTTAGTCATGTAGGGTATCAAATGATTCAGTATGACAAAATATACTCAACTTTAGTCATGTAGGGTATCGAATGACTCGGTATGACATAATAAACCAAACTTTAGTCATGTGCGGTATTAAATGATTAAGTATAACAAAATAAACAGCTAAAATCATACTTTGCCGCCATTTTTGAAAAAATAAAATAATAATTTTGATATATTATATCTTATTTTTGATGCTCTAAACAATTCTAAACGTTAAAATTGTTACCTAAAATTTTTTACTTTGGCCGCCATTTTCTCTGTTTCTGAAGAGATATCAAAATTTTAATGCATATTTCTTATGCTTATTTTTGATGCTTTATTCAAATCTATACTTTAAAAAAATTTTCTTAAAATTTTTTGTATTTTGGCCGCCATTTTGTCTATGTTCCCGAAGATATATCAAAATTTTAATACAACTTTTCAATAGATTATTAGTAGTCCTCTAACCGAATCTGAAGTCAGAATTTCAAAATTCGCAAAATGAAATGCTACACACAGTCAGACAGACTCAAAAAGCCATTATAGATTTCAGTAAACAAAACTTTTCAAGTTTTTTTTGAAAATAAATAAATAAATATCATTTCAATCACTAATGTTTAAATAAAAAAATAAAATATAATTTTCATGAAATTTTTTTTATACAAAAGTAAATAAGTAAATATTTTATGAGATAAATAAAAATAAATTATTACAATACTATTATATAAATAAAAATCCGATAAATTTTTTTGGTATTATATTCAGCAATAAAATTAATAGATTGACAGTTTTGAATAATTTTTATTTTATTTTTTTACTAATATTTATTATTAATTTTTATAATATATATACAATTATTTAATTTAAATATATATTTTTTCAAAAATTTTTTATATTTTACTCATATTATTAACCCATAAAGTATATAAACAAGTTCAATTAACCAAAATTTTTTTAATCATATTACTATTTTTAATTATTTATTCAGTATTAAATCAAGTTTATTAATATTAATAATTAATTAATTAATTAATTAATTAAAACAACAACAACAAAACTGACCATGACCAAAATTTTATTAATTGCTACAATTTTGTTAGCAATTTATTTAATAGGTATATATATATATATAATACTTAATTTTATTTTTATTTATTTTTTCAAAAAAAAAATATTTATTCAATATATGCTAATATATATATATATATATAGATGAGACCGAAACTACCGGTGCCGAGATAGTTGCGGCCGCCCGCACCCAAATAGGCGTACCCTATTCGTGGGGTGGGGGCGGCTATATGGGTAAATCTAAGGGTATTGTCCAGGGTGTCCATACAGGTGGGTTTCGATTGCTCAGGTTTGGCCCAGTACTCGGTCTATCTGGGTACAGGATCGGGCAAAATCATAGCCAGGGTATCTGCAGTACAATATACGGACAAACAATGTCATCATGTTAGTTGGGGGTCAACATGAGCCAGGTGATCTAGTATTTTTCAATGATGGCGGCTCCATACATCATGTAGGTATAGTATCCAGTGCTACACATATGATACAGGCACCGCATACAGGGGATTATGTACGTAAATCGGCCATACCTACTACCGGTCGGATTGATCAGGTTACACGTTGTTTTTTTTAGATAAATAAGCTAGATTGTTTTTTTTTTATTATTATTATTGTTTTTATTTATTTTTTAGCTAGCTTGTTATATATTTTTCAAAAAATTTTAAAGTAACTTTTTTTAGTAATATTAATTTGTTTTTGAATAAATCTCTAGTTGTATACTATTTATATCAAAAATTAATTTTTAGTTTATTTTTTACTAATTTTATTATTTAAATATTTGGTTAGTTTTGGTGTTGTTGTTATTGTAAAAAATAGATTAAATTATAATATTTTGTTATAATATTTTTTTTTATAAATATTTTGTTTATAAAAAAATTTAAAGTTTATTTAATTAGTTTATAGTATTTATATTTTATAAATAATTATAACTTCTACATACTTTTATCAAAAAAATATTTTATAAAAAAATACACATTTTAATACTAGTATAGTTGTATTAATTAAGTAAAAACAAAAATCATAACCTATCAATATTATATTTATTATATTAAAAACATATAATAATAATTATTAAATTTTTATTATATAATTAAATACAAAATTAATTACTACTAAATTTCCTAATTTTTTAAAACTAAAATCACAATTTTAAAAAAATAAAACTAAAAAATAATAATAACAATTAATTATCATCATTCAAATTATGATTATAAAAATAAACATTCAATACTCTAATCCTATCTATAACACGTTGATAATCATGATTGAGCAAGGTCAAATTTGATTGTACATTAACTAGCAATAGTTTAGTATCGGTACGTACAAAATCACGTAGCATAGCGTAAACCCTTAGTAAATTGTCTTGTTGTTTATCAATGGTATTATTAAATCTACTAGTCAATACCGTACCCAGATACCTGTCCCCTGCACCGGTAGTTTCCTCCAGGGTCTTATTCAATTGTTTCAGGGCCAATTGAAATGTTTCCAACATGGCCACCTGATGATCCTGGTGCATCGACTGGACCATGTCCAATTGGGTTTCAATGGCCGCTACCCTGACCATTACCTTATGAATGGCCTGACATTGGGCGGTTAGGTTTTCTAGGCGCCATCGTTTCAGGGCACCGGTAGCCAGTTGTTTGAGACTATCGATTTGGTTGGCTATGAACTTGCGGTCAATACCAGTCATTGAAGTAGTAGTAGTTGTGATGCTATTGTTTGCTTGTAGTGCTAAGTATTTTGTGTAGGTGTGTGTGTGTGTGGGTGGATGTAGGTGTGTGGGTGGATGTAGGTGTGTGGGTGGATGTAGGTGTATGGGTGAGTGTAGGTATGTTTGGATATAATATATATTAAGTGTGGGTTAGTTAAGTTTTTTTTAAAAAAATAAAATAAATATACTAGTATAAAAATAAATAAAAAATTAAAATTTACCCAGTTTCATTGTATTATTATTACTGATAGTAGTAGTGTTGCCATAACTACTAGGGGTAGTAGTAGTTGATGTTGTTGTAGTACTACTACTACTACTACTAGTATTACTATTGATTGTTGAATTAGTTGTCAGTATTGTTGGCATTAATGTTTGAAACAATTGTGGATCAATTGTTGTAGTTGTTAGTTGATCTTGATCATTTTGGCAATTAGCTATATATAGATATATAAATTAACATTTTTAATATATATATATATTATATATAATAATAATAATTAACTAATTAATTAGATTAATATTTATATTTTATTTATATTAATTTTATTATTAAATAATTTATTAATAAAGTATAATAATTATATTAATAATAATTATTATTATTACACTTACCTAGTTTAAAATAATAGTAATTATGAAATATTAAACATAAAATAACAATGTCTACTAAATGTTTGTACATTATTTAATAAATATAATAACAATAATAATAATAATTATTTTTATTAAAAACTAAAATTTTTAATATTAACACACACACACACAATTGTTTAATATAATTAATTTGTATGATTCAAAAAATAATAATTATTATTTAATTACTAAATAAATTACTTAATAATTTAGTACTACATTGTTAACTGTTGATAATATTATTTTACATACTATTATAGTTTTATTATACTTTAAAATATTGTTAAAAAAGTAAAACTTAAATAGTTAGTAACAAAATAACTATAATAAAAACATTTTTAAATATATATATATATATATTAAAAATATATTAAATTTTTAAATATCAAATTATGATTTATATGTCAAATACAATGATTTTTATTATTATATACTAATATTTATAATAATTATTGTTATTATGATTCATAATAATTATATATAAAAATTAAAATAATGTTTAATATAAAAAACAGGTTTTTGTTTAATAATAATAATAATACTTTTTATTTTAGTTTTTTACTTTATTAATATTATATTAAATATTGCCTTGAATTCAAATGATGGATATTTGATAGTTTAGTTAATAATTTTATAATAAATATATATATACTTTATATTTAAAAATAATAATTATTTTTTAATATTAGTTTTTGAATATAATATTTTACAGTATTTTAATATTAATATATAGTAAGTTTTTTTTGTTATTATTTAATACACTTTTAATTTATTATATGTTTGAAAACTAAATTTGAAATCTAAAAAATAAAATAAATAATTATATAGTTTCATTAATAAATTAAAATTAATTGAGATTTATAATGAAACCTATTAATTATTTGTTTAAATTAATAATACACATGTAATAATTTATTAATTTTTATATTTTATTTTTGAATTATCATTTAATTTTTTAACAATTAACAAAAAAAAACAATTCTAGAGAATTATGAGAATTATTATTAATATTATAAAAAATAATAATTTTTATAAAATTAAGAAAAATGCTATTATGTAATAATAATAATAATAATAATAAATATATATATATAAAAGTACTAAAATTTATAATATCTAATAAAATTTTTATTTAATATTTTTTTACAAAAAAAACTATTTAGTTTCTATATAACTAGTTTTTTAATTTTAATAAAAATGGCATTGCTAAAAATTGCTATTATAATATTGTTGCTAGCTAGTTTAATTGGTAAATAAATTTATTTATTTTTCTGTACAAAGTATAATATTAAACAAAAAATTTTTAGATAAAAAATTTAATTTATAATATTTATTAATTTTTTTTAATAATATACTCCAATTATTTTTGAAAGATTAATTATTAACATTTTTTCTATGATTTTTAAATGTTATTAATTTAATTTAATTATTTTTTTTTTAAATTAATTAATTAGTTTGTTTATCATCAGCACCTGGATGTAATGGACAGCACTGCCAATGTGTTGGACCTTGGTGTAAACAGAGTAATGAACCACCATCACCATTACCGCCAGCTAACTGAGCAATTAATTATTATTATTACTATTGATGCCTAAATTTTTTTTCAAAAAAAAAACTATCAATATTACATTTTTCTACTATATTAGTTTTCAAAAAAAAAATTAATTAATTAAATAAAATTATATTAAAATTATAATTATTAATAATATTATAATTATTATTGATATTTTTCCGATTTTATATATACAATAGTTACTAATTTTTACCAATTATTGTTATTATTTAGTTTAATTCAATTAATTAAATTATTTATATATTTAAAAAAAAATAAAATAAAAAATCTATGAAGTATAAATTGAATTTAATATACTTATAATACTGTATATATTTAATGTATATTTTAAATTATTATAAAAATGCAACCATTTTTTTTAAATTTTTAAAAATTGTACATTATATTAAAGTATATATATTGATATTAAATAAGGTGGGGGCGGGGGGGGTAACTATTATGGATAAGCGAACGTAATTTTTTTTTTCAATAATGACTACATGCGAACAATTGCAAACATAGTGGAGTGATGGGGTCTAGATTTTTTTAAAAAAAAGTGCGAACGTAATATGTGAACCACGCCTTGAAATAACTGTAGCAATCAAAAAAAATCAACTACTATTTGATAAATAAAAAAAATAAATAAAATAAAATTAATAATTATGTTCAATAAACAACAAGTTAACTAATTTTAATTAAGTTAATATTAATTGACATTTTTGTTGTTGTTGGTTGTAATTATTGATTAAATAAACCATGCTTAATTTAGTTTTTGTAATTTATACAAAAACAAAAAAAATAGTTTAAAATTATTAAAAAATTTTGTTATATATTTTTTCTTAAAAAAAACAATTAAGAAATAGTATTATGTAAATAATTGCAAATAATAAATATACATGTAATACATATACGTAATACGTATAATATATTGGAAAAATAATAAATACACTTAAGTTTATGTTTTTATTAACATTTATAATTTTTCATATTTCATATAAAAATCTAATGTAATGTAACTTAACTTATTATTTAATAGAATATTATTTTATTAAACTATAGTTAACTTTTTTAGAATTTTTTTTTATCATTATGGCAAATAAATTTCAATTAATTTTTAGATTATCCATTCTAATTGGTAACTATAATTTTTTTATATTTATTTATTTATATAATTCAATAAATATATTTTTATTTATTTTTTGTAAAATATTATTTTAGTTTTAATGTCAACTGTACTAACTGATGAACTGATAACTGAATTTTTAATTATAAATTTGATGACTTGTTGTAAAATAATGATAATATAAGTTTTAATCTTTGTTTTATTAGTCTTATTATTATAATAATTTTACAATAAACATTTTTTTATTATTTAGTTTTTTATGTAACTTTAATGCGTAAATAAATTCAATAAAAATAAAATTTTTAATTATATTTTTTTAATGTAAAATCAAATTTTAGTTTTAATGTCTTGAATTTAGAAATCATTTTTTAAAAACATCTAATAACTAATTAAAAAATGTTATTATTATTATTATTACAAAATGAACTAGTATATAGCATATTACAGTGTTGTAAATTATATTAGTACTTTATTTTTTTTTACTTATCATGAAATTTGGTTTTACAAAATATTAAGTTTCTAGAATTTTCTAGAAAATTAATAATTTTTTATTTTTTAAAAAAAATATGTTAAGTAATATTAGTTATGTAATTGTATTAGTATTATTTCAAAAAACTTATATTAATTGAAAAACAAAATCTAAGTATATATATAATAATAATTTTTTTAATAATTATTTTAGCTTAAAATATCGTTTATTATTATTTATATTTTTTTAAATAATTTTTTTTATTAATTATTAAAACAATTACACAACATTAATTAAAGATTATATTTTTAAACTTCAACTTATTCATAATTATTATGCCAATAGTCAATGAATTACATAAATTTAATAATTACAGTATATATATATAATAATAATAATAATTAATTTAACTTATTTACAGAATTAATAATAAATTCTAAAACAATTTAAACAGTTAAAACATAGTATAAATAATTAGAAAATAAATAAAAAAATTGGAAATAATATAAAATATAGCTAATTATTTAAAAAAATTAATAAATTTAAATATGTTTTTAATATCACATATAACTAGTGATATCTATCCCATCACAAACAAAAATTGCCAATTTATAGAACATATGTTATCAAAATAGTTTTTTAAAAATATATTATTAGATATTTAAAAAAAATAATTAATTAAATTAATAATTAAAACTAAATAAGTGGTTATTGAAAAATAATTATGTGAATGTATTTATTGAAAAAAAAAACAAAATCTCCATTATGAAATTATTAACTAAAAATCTATCATTATTATCATCGTCATTGATAATTATCATGATAATAATTGTATTACTAAGTGATCATGGTGATTTCTACAGAAATTATCCAGCTGTTTTATGGAAACAGGAAAATGAAAAATATGAAAAAGCTTACGAAAAACGTGTTCAACAATTTGGTGATCAAGGTAGATTTTTATTTTTTACTAACATAAAAAAATTTAGACTAACATAAAAAATAATTTGCATAAATATCATACTTCGGCTGAAAGTGTTTGTAATGAATAAGATATAGTTATCTATAAAAAAAACTTAACAACAGTTAAAAATACCGTTAAATTTAGTACTTTATATACTATTCTCTTAATTCTATTGTTGTAAATTAAAATTCTATTACTGTTACACTGAGGAAAATTAGTATTAATTAACATTGTATTTATATGTGTATTGTTTGTGATTTTTTCAAACAGTGTAGCAGTTATTAACTATTAAATAGAATTTTAATTTACAACTATAGAATTAAGACAATAGTATAAAAAGTACTAATCGTATCGGTATTTTTAATTGTTGTTAAATTCTATTATAGATAACTATATCTTATACATTACACAAACACTTTAAGCTGAAGTATGATAAATATAATATATATCGATATATATATATATATATAGGTTGTGACCGAAAACGTAAACAATTTAAATGTCCGAACAGTCAATGGTGTTGTCGACTGAATACATTCGCTAACCATTATAGTTCGGATAACTGTCCCGATGGTCAACACTCATGTGGTGAACAATGTTGCGATAAACAACAAGATTATTATTGTCGTAGTCCTAGTTATGGACATGAAATTAGTGAAAATTATGGATACTATTGTAAATATGAAGGTAAGTGTACAATAGTTCTATTGAATAAGATATTGGTTTGCTAGTCAAAATTTAGGCGATAAAACTTACTTTATATTACTAATACTAAATTTTTAGATTTTTTTTATTTATCTTTTTTTTCAATATTTCACAATATAAATTAAAAAGGACCAGATACAACAACATTAGCCAATAATGAAAATGCAGTTCAAGAAGGAAATACAGGTCAAAATGGAAATGCAGGTCAAAATAGCTTTAAAAAATTTAAATTATATTTATATGACAACGTAAAAAAAAGAAGCTAAATTTTAATTAACATAAAAAATAAATTAACTAATTGTTTAATTAATTTGTTTTTTTTAAAAATAGGTTGTGGTCGAAAACAATATAAATGTCCAAATAGTCAATGGTGTTGTCGACTATCATTTGGAATTCATTACGCTGATAACTGTCCCGATGGCCAACACCAATGTATAGAACAATGTTGCGATAAACAAATGCATTACTATTGTCGTAGAAATAGTGAATCTAGTGATAATAATGGATACTATTGTAGATATGAAGGTTTAGGAAATTTTTTAAATATAATACTTATCTCTCTTTTAAAAATAAAAAAATATATAATTTTACTAATCTAGGACCAGATACTACAACAACTCCAACTATTGACGAAAATGAAGATAGAAAAGGAAAAGCAGGTCAAGAAAGAATTTGGCGTCAAAAAGGAATTTTACGTAAAGAAGGAACTGGAGGTCACGAAGGAATTGGAGGTCAAGATGGCAGTACTGGTAAAGAAGAAAGTACAGGTCAAGAAGAAAGTTCAGGTCAAGAAGGAAGTACAGGTCAAGAAGGAAATGCAGGTCAAGAAGGAAATGCAGGTCAAGAAGAAAATACAGGTCAAGAAGTAAATGCAGGTCAAGAAGGAAATACAGGTCAAGAAGGAAATGCAGGTCAAGAAGGAAATGCAGGTCAAGAAGGAAATGGAGGTCAAGATGAAAATACAGGTCAAGAAGGAAATGCAGGTCAAGAAGGAAATATAGGTCAAGAAGGAAATGCAGGTCAAGAAGGAAATGCAGGTCAAGAAGGAAATGGAGGTCAAGATGAAAATACAGGTCAAGAAGGAAATGCAGGTCAAGAAGGAAATATAGGTCAAGAAGGAAATACAGGTCAAGAAGGAAATACAAGTCAAGAGGGAAATACAGGTCAAGAAGGAAATGTTTAAAAAAATAGAAATTTTTTTTACTATTTTATTAGAAATTAAAGTAATTGTAATTAAATCAAAAATTGTTTATGCAATTGTTGTTATATATATATATATTAATAAAATGCTATTAAAATTTTATTAATTGTATTTACAAGTTGGTAATTGCTAATACAAAAAAAAATCATAATAATATACAACATTAAAAATCTAATTTACTATATTTGCTAATCTAATAAATCTATATATAGTATTTTGCCAGTATATTTTTGTTTTATCATAGAAACTGCACCAACCTATGATGACAACCTCCCGGTGCCCATCGTTTAGCCTAAATGTGTAGGTTTTGTATGGGTTTATTTGATGGCTTAATCAGTAAACTAATAGCAAAACAATAAATAATAAAATTAATTTTATTTTAAAATTGTTTATCAAAAAAAAAAAATAAATAAATTATTATTTTGTTGTTGTTGTAATTTTATTATTAAAAATTATTCAAAAAAAACTCATAATAAATTGAATAATCAATTTTATTAATTAATTAAAAACTATATAATATTTATAATTATTTGCTTTTTTGTTACTATTTTAATAAAATAAATATATATTATTATAATATTGATAATAATAATTATTATTTTCTCAACGATTTAATCCACAGTAGACTGTAGGCCATAAATCTTAGCAAAACAATAATCGCCAACAAAATCCATAGATCGCGACCAAAATTGTCGGGATTAAAGTTTAACGATTTGATTACCGCTGGGCCGTCGGGTATACACATACTAACCGAACCGTTAGTCGTCGACGACTGTTTAGAAGTAGTACAGGGAATGCTAGTTATGTCCAGCCATTGATTGATAACCAGTGCTTCATTGCCATAATAAAACCATGATATATATTTTATCCAGATAAAATAATCAGGTATTGAACTATTTTTAGGAAAAAATATAAAATTATTTTATAAAATGACAATGACAATTTTTTTTAAATGTAATATTAAATTGATTAAACTAATTATTTCAAAATTATAACAATAGTATATTAATATTTATTTTAATACTAATATTTGCTGTGCATTATTATCAATAAAATAAAATTTAATATTTATAAAAAAAACATGTTAAAAGTCAGAAATAGTTTATTAAAAAATTATTAAAAATTTTATTTAAATTTAAATAAGTTTACTAAAATTTTACTAATGAAAAAATTAAATAGTTTTGAAATAATTTAGTGAATAATTAGATGAAACACTGTAATAATTATTAAAATTAAATTAGATTAAAATAAAATATATAATAATTTAGCATGCTCATTGTTTAGGAAAAATCCGCCAAATATCATTAGCGGCATCAATATGGCCGGTGCAATGGTCAGTGCCATTGTTGAGTTTTTACTCAAACACGATACCAAATAGGCTAAACCGGTTGCACAGTTAGCTATCAGTATACAGGTTAGTAGACAGTAGAAAAATTTATCCAAATTATTATTGTTGTTTAGGCCAACCATAAAATAAAATATACAAACAAATAGTGACGGTATAAATATGTATGTTGGTTGCTAATAATAATAAATAATAATAATAATAATAAAATTAAAATAGATAATAAAAAAAATGATAATCAATTTATGTATATATATACGTATATTTTTTTTATTAACAAACCTCGGCTATCATTTTGGCCAAAAAATATGAGCTAACCCTATATAAACCGTTATCATGTTCTCTATGAAATATAGGTACTTCCAAACAAAATGTCTAATTGTAATTATTTTATAAAAAAATATATAAATAAAATTATAAAATTAGTTTTTAAATAAAATCAAATATTACATTAACTACACCAAACAAACTGGTCAAGTTCATTTTCATAAGCAATAAATACAATGCACCGTTTATATTTAGAATGCCCACTTGATCCAGATCCAATTGGAAATAAATTAAACCAAATATTATTGCAGTAATCTAAATGATTTTTTTTCAAAAAATAAATAAATAAAATAATTTTAATTAAAAATTGCAAATATTTTAATTTAAAAAAAAAAATAATTATTTAATTACAGCTGACTGTGCAATCAGTATACGTGTTAGTAATGGATCTCTGAATGTTGTTATCGACGATCGCCACAATAGTTGACCAAATTGTATAAACCAATTGGTTTTGTAATGGTTAGCCATTAGTCTACTACTACTACTACTACTACTATTGAAATTGTTTGAACTGTTATTATATAAAGTCTGTGACAGAAGGGTGCTAACTGGTTTTTGCTTAATATCTCTATAACTAAATGAGCTAGATCAATAAAAATTTTATGAGATACATGGAATCCTGGGACGTATAACTTAGTATAGTTAGTTTTTTATAGATTTAAGCTTATGTAGCTAAGCACCGGTAGGTGCCATATCTCTAAAACTATAATAAATATCTAAATTCTGATAATGTGAATTTAAACTAGGTGAAAATTCATTAGACACGTATTTCAGTAATTTTTTTAAAAATTAATAAATTTTAAACAAAAAGCAAAAAATTGTAAAATTTGTAATATTTAGATATTTTCTAGAAAAAAAGTGTCAAGGTATTTTGATATGAAATTAATCTATTATTATTTGTTATTTTATTAGGAATAATTATTCTATTTATAATTTTTAATTATCATGCTTAGTTTTTGAGATATTAAAGAAAAACATTTTTACCATTATATAATTTTTTCTTATAAAATTTTATTAATTATATTTGTTACTAAATTTATATAATGGTAAAAAGGTTTATCTTTAATATCTCAAAAACTAAGCATGATAATTAAAAATTGTAAATAGAATAATTATTCCTAATAAAATAACAAATAATAATAGATTAATTTCATATCAAAATACCTTGACACTTTTTTCCTAGAAAATATCAAAATATTACAAATTTTACATTTTTTTGCTTTTTGTTTAAAATTTATTAATTTTTTTAAAAATTACCGAAACACGTGTCTAATTAATTTTCACCTAGTTTAAATTCACATTATCAGAATTTAGATATTTATTATAGTTTTAGAGATATGGCACCTACCGGTGCTTAGCTACATAAGCTTAAATCTATAAAAACTAACTATACTAAATTATACGTCCCAGGATTCCATGTATCTCATAAAATTTTTATTTATCTAGCTCAATTATTTATAGAGATATTAAGCAAAAACCAGTTCGCACCCTTCTGTCACAGACTTTATACTATCTGTCGATGGCATCGATAATTTTGAATAATTACTTGAAGAAAATTTGTTGCAAATATCCTAATAAATAAAAAAATATATATTTTATACAAATTTTTTCTTACAAATTTTAAAATTACATTTGCTTTAATTTTTGATTGAATTTCATCGCCAGGTATTACTGATAAATGTTTGATATAAAAATCTGCTGGATTATAATTATTTGGACAGTTAAGTCCAAGTAATTTGCTAAAATAATCAAGCGCATTTTCTAAATAAAATAATTTTTTTAAATATAAATAATTATTTTTTTTTAATAATAATTTAATAGAATAAATAAATATTTTTTTTATATATTAAACAATTATATA